AAAAAAAAAAAAAAAAAAAAAAAAAAAAAAAAACTTAAAAAATATTAGCCATTGACTGGTCTTCGTGAAGGAGATGTGCGATGTTATAAACATTGTTTAAATTTTACATCGAGTTTCTTCCCCGCAGTAAAGTTTTCCACATCTGTTGCAAATGAAAAGTTCATTATCTTGTGGGTTTTTGCAGTTGTGGCAATGTGCTTCGCATGATTCTGTAAGCAAACATTTAGCAAAGCATTCGAGTTAATTGTACACATTTTACCAAGAAGGAAGTAAATTTTTACTTAATGTATTTTTGGTGTCATTTATACGGGAATTTACCAAGTTTGAGAAAAACACAATAGGGTTATGAATATTTTTTACTGGGTTATGAGGACTAATGATATTTTACTTGAGATTTATATTGCAATTGCATATAAACTCCAATATACATATAAATAATTTGAATTATCAAGCGAGTAGCTATAGAGTGTTAAATTAACTTTATGTAGATTACATTGTTACATTAAAAAAATATTTAAAATATTTTGTCACTGTTAATTTAAATGAACTGTTCTCTAATCACTAAAAATCGCAATTACTTATTCAATCAACTTTTAAGATATAAAAATATCAACATGTGCTAGTTCTTCTCTCAATGATGTACAGAATTTATGGTCGAATGTTAAAACGAAGATGTGTGATAATCCATAATCCGTAGTAACATCCACACGACAACGTATTCTACGTGATTCTGTAAAAAAAACATGCTTCAAATTGAGTTGAGATTTTTTGTTAGTTAAATTGCACAAAGGATAAGAGTTGGTTTTTAGAGGCATGTATTCATTTATTTTTGGTATTATTTAGGTTGATTAATGTGTTATTTAGAAAATTCAAGTAAATAATGCAATTACAAAACATTTTATTAAATATCGTGGACAACATTATAATCTAGATATTTTACAAAATTTGTAGATAATGGTTTACATTAACTTTAATAAACCACACTATTTTTTTGATAAACCTTGTTAAAAATATAGTTAATAAACAAAATTATAAAAAATATTTTCTCAACTTTCAACAACAGAATATGCGGGAAAATACTTCAAAGTACCTAGTGAGTAGTTAATATTACATGATAAACACATTTATTTAACGTTTTGGTGAGAGGTTGATGTGTTGTTGATTAGTTACCTAATTAAAATTATTTTCGATTTTTTATTGCAAGGAAATTTATAAGTTGATTTCTGATTATCAACAATTGCAATGCCAATAAATTTTTTTTTTTTTTTTAGTTTTTGACCAAACAAACATATACCATTTTCATGTTAAACAGTTCCAATAAAAACAATCAAATCAAACATAATTAACATCTCCAAACAGTTATTGTATTAAAAAATTACTTGATAACATATAATTTAACTTGTATACTGATTTTAACCAAAACCTCTTTTCTTTTTTCATTCAATCAACTAAAATATGCAAGTCACTTGGAATCACATTTATTAAAAATTCTTTTATTTAAAAAAATATCATTTCCAAAAATCTCCTCATTCACTTTTCTTCTGCAGCTCGTGATCGATGTAATAAATTTCCTTGCCTCGGTGCTTTCGTCTTATGTGTTTGTAAATGTATCCACGCAATTTGGCCAAGTGGTTACAGTAAGCACATTGAAAACGAGGCGGCTTATTACATTCGTACCTAAAAATAAAATATGTACATGAATAAACAAACGTAAAATATCATGTGGTATGGTGTGTGCCCTCCGGATCGTACCTCAAGTGTCTACAGAGACTTTTCTGATGAGAATAGACTCTTCCACAGGAGTTGCACGTGAAAGATTCGTCCGTAGTGGCCGACGCTTGCTGTTCCACTTCTGAAAATAATAAATGTATCGTTTACACAGACCTTCTCTGCGTCACTAATTTATCATAAAAACTACTAGGAATTTAGAATTTTGTAGAATGAAAGAAAAAAAAGATGAAAAAAAAACAACATTCTTTACGTACAAATCAGTATAACTTTTATTAAACTAGTATAAGCGACACGCGCGTTTCTTCATTACATTATTAAAGTGATGAACAAAAAAATACATATTTTTATATACATATTATTCTCGATCCATAGTACTTTTTGCATTTAAGTTCAAATAAAAAAAATTGTTATTCACACTAAAACAATTTAAAGCTCATTGCCGTACATTGTACTATGGAATTAAGAAATAAATATTCGTTTTACACAACTTAAACAAAGAAGAAGAAAAAATTCTGTATAAATCTTCTGTTTTCTTGTAATCCAAAGTAGTCCTTTTCTACCAAAATTATGCTCCGTGATTTGGTACGAGCACCATGAAGCAACTGCTTAAATACGACCTCGTGGATATTTTCGTACGCAATAATAGTAAAAACGTGAATTTTGAGACACAAGTGACGACGAGGGTGGGAGCAAGATCGGTGTTAGTAATTCCTGATGACGTAGACTTCTTTGCGTGGATGCCAGCGCCTTATGTGGCGATAAATATTGGACGACTGGTTGCAAGACTGAGCACAATAAGGACAGCCAAAGCGGGGCTTGTTTCCGCACTTGTGCTTGTAAAGATCGGATGTTCGGCGAAAACCAGCCCCGCAAACGTTGCACTTGTAACACGTAACTTCAGTTGTACACGTCACCAGGGCATCCACTGTAAAAAATTAATGCAGATTGCGTTAATCAACTGTCACACAGCGGGAAAAAATCAAGTTAACATGCGATTCAAGAAATGTGCACGGAGTCAACGATCAAGGCTGCTATGAATCGTTAGAAGGGCGGCAATAATGAAGAAGGCAATAATAATATACATTGTTAATTTGGTTTTATTACAAGTAGTCAAGTAACATGCACACTTCAAGCTTGATAAATTTTTACATCCAAGTAATTGAAACGGTAACATATCCATCCTTGCACGCCGTGGCGAAGTATTTCCACAAGTATATAGATCTTCACATGACCACATCGATTACTCTTTATCAGTAAAATTACATAACGTGCTTGTGTTTCCTTCTCACGTGCTTGTACATGTTGGACGTGTACTTCGACGTGTAATCGCAGTAGTTGCAACAAAATAAAGCTGCCCGGCTGCCTTGCTGGTATGATTTCGTGTAATAGTGCGATCGCATGTGGTTAAACAGATTGCTTTCTATGACGGATTGATGGCACATGGTACACACCAGCCATTGGACGCTCGTATTTTGATCTGTAAAAACGACAAGAGATTCAACGAAAATGCATCCACAGCCACCAACACCATGCAATGTTTTCGCGTCGGGAAAGAATTTTCGGTGCCAAAGGTTTTTTTGTTAGATCTAAACTTGACAGAGGGTTACATGCTTCATCTAAGGTTGCGACACAAAAGTAATCAATAAACGACGTAAAGCACTCATCAGATTTATTATTTTTACATATTGCTGCGTTTTTCTTACAATAATTCGTAGGATTTCACGTACCCAATCTACAGAATCATTGTTGCTTCTCTGACTCATCTCTACTTGATCATACCGTCCACATTCGCTTAGGCTTATGCCCATGGAGCTAAAAAAATCTCGAGACAACCCTGTTGCCAAACTCCAATTGACATAACTCTTGTCTAATCTAGCATAAGGGTAACATTCAGAGTTTAATATTTTGTTGGTATGGTACAAATACTTAGCAGTGAATAACAAATACATGACTTATTTAACGCTTTAACAGGATTCTCTGGCTTGCTTATGGAAGTATTCACATAATTGAACAATATGTAGTGTGTGATGTGAAAAAAAAAAAAATTTATATTTGAGATAATCAGATTAAGTATATAATTCAACATAACTACATAAAAAATAAAAAATAAAAAAATACTAACTCGATGATAGTACACTAATAAATTATCGTTGCAAGTTTCACACACAGTACTTGTCATTGCCATCACTGCATGCAGGTGTTACCATCTATACGTATATGTTTCTTGGACATATGATTTACGTGAATTCTTTGAAAAAAAATGTAAAAAAATTAATACCCCACGTATCCTACATTCAAAACAGATGAATCCGGATATATTTTGTCGTGACGTTTCGTTATCAAGCATTGGACCAGTATCGGGTGATTTATATATAAAAAAAAAAAAAATTTACATAGTCTCATTGCTGGTTTGTTACTATGGATAGTCTATTGTATACTGGTTGCTCGAGTATGTCGCGGAGAACAATACTGACGTTTATGGTACTAATTAATGAGAATGAATTAACGCAACTGTCGAGTACATTGATAAACGTAATTAATGTTTATGAACAATGACCCTTGGTTTACTTGGTGGTTACGGCGCGCTTCCTTTTTATGATCTTCCCTTGGACGACATCCAGACAAGTTTGCTCGCGGCCGGCGTGCATGCGCCTAGTGTGTTGATACACGCTCGTGGTGTGTTTCGTGATGTACGGGCAGTAGCAGCAGCCAAAACGCGGGATTTTGCCGCATTCGTATCGAAAATGCCGGTACAGGCTGTTGTAGACCGAAAAAGTGCGGGAGCAGCGAGCACATCGGAACTCGTGGCTCGACGTCAGCGTCCAGAAGTGCGTCTGCTGGTGGTCTCCTGAAAGGTAAGAGCTACGTTGTATATTCATTGGTTTTTGGCGTTTCGACATTCATGGGGAGACTCGATCATCCAAATGGTTCTGTGTGTACTTAACATGATGTGTTGACGAAATCTATTTCAGGGTGTAATATTGCACGATTTAATGAAAATGCTCCTGTACTATTTCGTACAGGACAATATTCCCTAAAATAATTACACGTGTGCCTAATGCATTTGAAAAAATTTTTTTGACACAAACAACGTGATAGTAAACAAAGTGATTAAGATCAAACAAATATACATTTTATTCAAATGCAACATGAGTCACATAACGTCCATCACTTTTGGACGTTTACATGGATTTCACTTAAAATTTCTTGGTTTTTAATTAATGTTTACAAATTTTTGTTATACTTAAAAAGTGAGTTACCATCTTTGAGCTTTCAAGGATAAACATTTACTTACGAACGTATTTATGGTAATAAACGAATTCGTTTGATAAAGTTGTTGAAGTATACAGGATAGGTTAAAAAAAAAACCTTAAAAATTATTATCGCCTACAGTTTCATTTCTCTATGCTATTTTCAAATTCATTGCATCTGTATATATTCAAATTATTGTTTACCTACAGATCTACTTTTTTCAAGTTGATGGTGGATTTCATGACGATGATTAAAATTAATTAAACGTACATAAACACCATTTACATTTTTGTTCTATTGAGAAAAAACTGTTAGAACCGTATATTTACATCTTTCAATCATAAAAAAATTTTCAATTTGTCTTAAGTTAAATTTTATTTAATCCTATGATAGTATACAGCCACAACTGTTGGTTCTTTAAGAATTTGGATTAAAAGTCTCCTATGAAAAAAATGTACAAATGGCGTTGAAAATATAATGTATTTTTAAATTAAAAATATATTTTTATGATCTAAATATTAAAAATTGATTCATGAAAAAAAAGAAGAAAAATCGATGATTGCTTAAAAATTAAAATTCCCAATAGGTTCAAGTTCAAGCTGAATGGTTTAAAATCCAGAGTTAAAAAAAAAACACACACACACAATTCGGTTCAAATTACACGGCAAAGAGCATTTTGAATGCAAAAAAAAGTTGAACTTGTTATTGAACACCAGGATTTTTGAGATCCAAACTAAAGACTTGTTTTCCGGGATGTGAATTGCGTATGTGTCTATTGATAGTGGACTCCCACACGCTGTGGCGATTGCAATAGGGACACTTGTAACGTTTGCTCTTGCCACACTGATACTTGAGGTGTTTCCACAGCTGGTTCATCAGGACAAACTCTTTCGAGCATTTCATGCACAATATACGCCTGTGGCTCTTTTTCAGAAAAACGTCGGGCTTTTCCTTCATGGTGCCAATGTATTGCGACATCGTGACGTCCCAGCGCTGAAGATTTTTCATCGAGTTTAGCAGCTCTTTGAATTCAAATCCGATAAAATCTTCGGTCTCGGCATCTATAAAATAAGAAAAAACAAATAAACATGAATTAGTATGGGTGGACAATTTTTTTCCTCCTCTAAATTTATTACAGTAAAGTGAATATAATTCTGCTTGGGTATTTTTTTTGTTCTTTACAATTTTTTGTTCAAATACGATTCGTATGATCAATTTCTTGATAGTACTGATAGTTCATGCGGATGAAATGAAAAACTTTAATTACGATGGATGTGAAAAAATGTTTTTTTTTTTTTTTTTTTTTTTTAGTAAAATGAAAAAAATTTACAAAGATTTTTGAAAAAGAATAATTTATTGAAAGAAATAAATACAAATCAATGTAGTATATCCTTGTCACGAGGTGGATGATAGAAAAACTCGAAATATCAACATTTTCGAAAGTAGATAATATGGAATCCTTGAACCTTACACTTGAATTCTAATGTTCATATTTTTGAAAAACACCTTGAATAACTGCAAAGAGTACAAAAACATATAGGTTAACTGAATTTTTCTTTTCACTGAATCAATAAAAATATAATGAATCGAGACAGTAATATTATAATTCATTTTATTGATTCAACAATAATGGCGTTTCACAACAATTGATTGCATCAAGAAACTAGTAATTTTATATTATCATTTAGCTATCAACAAATAGGATATTTTATGTAATGATAAGTAATAAATATTGTGTATTTTTTATCCACACGCAGAAAAAAGTGTTCACATCTATATCTTTAGAATAAAAAAAAAAAAAAAAAATCACAAAGTAAAATAACTTGAACCGATACAACAGCACAGTCCATTAATTTCCATACATATATGTTGTTCATATTTCTCTTTTTTTGATCATATATTATTTATCATGCAAGCATATCGACAATGTTTTTAAAGCTACAAAAAATTCTTCCTAGTCCAAGCACATTATAGGGTTAACCCTTAACTTTCGAATAAAAATTCACGACAAACAGAAACAAAGTTATCATCTAACAGAAATTACGTAAATCCAAAACATGTACTTAAAAATCTTTGAGTTGAAGTAAGTATATAATTCCCGCGTTCAAACTTCAGCTGGTCAATCAAAACGTGTTCTTCGCAGGGAAAAACGCGAAAAATCACAAAAAGATAAAGCTAATCTTGGGCATCCGACAAACCACACCGACGTAGCGTGAGAGTGGTATAGTGGATCATCTCCCACAGCACCTGTACAGAGACACGTTTACTTTGTTCAGCGAATCTCACGCCAGCAATCGCTTACTTCGGGGACTCGGAGCGCGTGACATCGTTGCAATAAACCTTGCATCCCGCATGAGATTTCCTAATGTGTTTGTAGAGACTAAAAGGCCACTTGCTGCGCTTGACGCAGTAGGGACAGGAGAACCTCGGCTGTCGGTTGCAGTCGTACTTTATGTGCTGCATGACGCTGCTGCGCGCGGAAAAGCGCTTCGGGCATTTGGGGCACTGGAAGCTCTTCTGGACGCCACGATGAGTCTTGGGAGCGGCTGGAAGGGCCAGCTTGATGACGTCGAGGCCAACACGGCTGTGGTGCAACTGGTGCCGCTCTTGGTGCGAGCTGGCGAAACGTCGGCGGCCACAACGACGGAGGCTCGGTAGTTTGAGGGGGTCCACGGACTGGTTTCCATCTGCACATGCAAACAGATAAAACGGAGCATCAGCGAATGGTAGATTTGGGCTTTGTTTGGGGATGTTTTTTTATTTGCGGTTTTGGGTTAATAAGTTCAAAAACAATGCGTTACCTGTGGCTCTGTTGAGTTTTTGTGCATGGGTTTGGTTGTTGTTTTTTTTTTTTTTTTTTTTTTTTTGTAGACCATTAGGTTTGTTCGTGTTGGAAGAAAAGCTGTAAATACGTAATTCAATTTTTTTTTTTTCACTTTAATTTAACGAACTCTAGTTTGGATTGAAATGTCAGGAGGGAGCTTTGTAATGTTTGGTTCATGGAAAATTGGTATAAATAATTCACGAGTACTATTTTATTTTTAGTTGCGTTAAAAGTAAGGAATAAATTTATATCCAATACCTTTTTTTTTTTTAAATACATTAAAAAAAAAAAAAAATACAATGCTTCGACACTAAAATTTAATGTTCNCCCACACTAGTCCGCAAACACGCAAATCGCCACACGGGTGTACGTGGGTAATCCTTGGTTTATAAGTTTTTTTTTTTTTTTTTTTTTTTTTGGAAAAAAACTAACACAACGGATGCATCATCTTAGTTTACTTGGTTACCCAAAATGTATATCAGTGATTGAGTGAATCATATTAAAATTCACTGAAATTGAGGCATGTTGGTTCGACGACTCATGAGACTCTATTTCAGCAAATGGAAATTTAATGAAAAATCATCAGATCATTCAAGTAAATATCTGAAAAAAAATTTAGAACGAGGCCTAGAAAGAAAAAGTCTAGGAACTAGAGAAGGACAAGAAAATAAAAAAAAAACGTAGTTATGGGCGAAGTCTAATTCAACTACACCTAAATTGGAAAGTGGGCGATAATTTCTCTCGAATCTTTGTTCAAGATTTAGTCACGCAAAACGTATATCGGCTCGCCAATGTGCGTACAACTGATGTGTCTCTTAATGTTGGATTTCCATTTTCCGCAATACGGACAGTAGGGACATCGAAAAATCGAGCCTCGACAGCAATTTAGGCGTAAATGGCGGCGGAGATATAACGGGGACGAGAAGACTGATGGACATTTTGGGCAGCTGAAACAGACGTTTTTTATGGCTCGAGGACCTGCAAACAGAAAATTTGAGACATGCCGGTGTTAGTGCGTGACTGAGAATCATAGGCTGACGTTCTCGACACCTAGAACAGAACTACGTGATGGTCTACGATCGGAGTATAAAAATATTTAATTCAACATTGCGGTTTCTTAATCCACTTAAATGATATAAATACACACGAATAATGGACTATTTTCGTCTTTATTTTTTTACATTTTTATTACAATTACTTGTACTACTTAACTTTACTACAAACATTTTTTTTTTATAAAATAACTGACATAACGTACGTTACAGTAGTATTTAATAAATCAGAAAATTATAAAAATACAACATTATACCTATGTCTAAAGTATCTTATGAAATTACAATGTAAGAGATTAAAAACTATTCTAATCAATTCCACTAAAACCTGAAACAATGTTATATACATTGATTGGCACGTGTTTTTGGCTACTTTTGTTACGCATCAATATATTTGGATAAATGGAATTTTACACCTATAATCTGGAATGTTATATACTTTTTAATTGTAGGTACTAGAACCTAGGAACCAATCCAAACACTAAAAAAAAAAAATTACTTAATCTAAGTATCTTATATTATACTATTAGAGAAAAAAAAAAACAAGTTTTAAACAGCCTCAGTTTTCGCCATTTAAAAATTCAACGTTTTTCTACCCATGAGTTTATTCATCTTTTCGTTCGATATTCTGACATTTTTGTTATTTCTTTAAATTGTATGTATAAAATGACTCAAAGTTTTCTTCAGAAATTGGATAACATATTTTTTTAGTTTCTTTCTTCAGCCATACACATATGTGAACAAATTTTGGAATGTGACATATACAATTGTAAAGGTTACATATTTTCAAACGGCAGGTAGTAAAATCTAGAAATTAATCTAAAAATTACTTAACTAAAAATTGATACAACCTACGTATCTTGTAATTTTATACTTTTAGTGATTAAAAAACTTTTTCAAGTAGTTTCTATAAGGCATTGAAATATTTTATTTGACATGCTACTAAATTAGGACAAACCTATTATTTCCTAACTAAAAATATCGAACATGATTTTTAGTAGTGAATCGCTCTATAAAAGCTAAGTTTTTAATGTAAACAAATTATATTTTCAAATAATTTTAAGCAGAAAATAAATGTTCAAATGTATTTTAAAAATTTAGAAAGTATTGGAAAAAATTTAATTAAATGTAGGTATTTCATCATTTTTACAACTCATATGTAGTCAAACAAAAGGTGTATGTTTTAGCACTTAATTGATGATCTTGTACATATAACTATTCGCTTTGAGCGTAATTCCGAAATAAATAGGTCAAGTCGAATTTTTCTTATTCTGCTTTTTTTCTAAAATTTTCTAAAACGTCAATTTTTCATATATGAACTAAGTTTTATTTATTTCAAACTCTATCCTCTGCGGATTTGGAGGGCGTTAACTAAGTTATAACACAAAAAAATGTAGGCACGCATCTTACTTGAAACATTAAGATTGCAAATTAGTAAAAAATCGATGTTTAATAAATAAAAAATCGGATGGTTCAAAAAAATTGTGTATAAAATAAATTCATCAGATAAAAATATGCAAGAAATACTTTGGTAGGTTCCTCAATATCTAAAGATGCTAAATTTAATTCTGCATAATTTTTAACTTCAAAAAAATCAAATAAAAGTTTAAAAAATAGTGTATAAAAAAAAAAAATTCATTTTTTTGCCTACTGACAGTGAGTGTATAAATAAAACTTAACTAATTATTACACAATCATTACCGTCAAATCATGTTTTAAAAAATATAAAATTATAAAAAAACACGTCTCATTTAAAAAAGAGCATTTTCTCCAAACTAATCTTTAGGTGTCTTCATCGGTAGGCCTAGATCGATGCAGAAAATTTTTTGATTCACATGCATTCGTCGAACGTGAGCCCGCAAATTGGACCTATTTTTACTGCGGTAAGCACAGTATGGGCATTTGAATCGAGCCAAGTCACCACATTCGAAGCGCAGGTGGTGGGATAAATTGTTTTTACGTTTAAATACGCTGCTGCATCGCATACAAGAAAAAGTGTTGAATTCCATTGGGTCACGCTGCTGCAACACTATGGCGGAGGGGGATACGCTAACAGTTAAACCATCTGAAACGAGACAAAGAAGGAATGGTGGGTGTGATTTTAGTTTACCACATATACTTAGTGTGGGTGAATGCAGGTACTCTTAGTGGTGATGATTTTGTATCGTTAGTAAAATCTACTACTGAAGTATATAGCAACAGTGAGCACAAGGTAATGTTTTTAGTTGAAAAATGATAAGAATTATTAGTCAAAGTAAAGCATATTCTAATTGTGTATTGTAATTTAGAATATGACGTATGACATATGAAAAGATTTAATAAAAATGACACACAAGTACATTTTTCATTACGCCTTTTTAAAATGAAATTATGAGATACGACAGTTCTATGGTAGTGACCTGTTTTTGTAAATAAATTTGCAAAAAAGAATTCAAACTCATGCAAGGTATACAGTAAATTTATGGTGATTACATTATCTAATAAACAGTATAATCTAAAATACTATTGTACTATTCAATCTATGTTTAGGACATTAGTTTTATTATTTTTTTATATTTTGATTTGGACATTCAATTGAGGTTAAAACATGAGTGGGTATTATAAATCAACAATTGGTTCTTTTGTAAACAAATGCTATTTTTTCTTTTTTTATTAACTTTTATGTAACACAATAGTAGGCGCCGTAACGCTACTTAAATACAAAATAGAGTTTTTTTTATTCATTGTACGATCTTTTATCATCTTAATTAACCATTGATTATCGGAATAGAAAAAAAATACAATTATTGCAATAATAGAAACAATATTTATTTACTACTGATTGTAATCATAACTGACTTTGGATATCAGTCGTAGAAAAATCAGTAAAATAAAAAAGCAAATATTAAGATGATTCAGTCAGAACGACATGTAACCTTAAGAACTTAAAATAGTAATATCTCTGAACCTAGAACGTATTTTGCATTCATTTTTTGCCTGATAATTTGAGATGAAAAAATTTCACTGCACTGCAAAAAAATGATTACATGTTTTTTTAATATCTGGGCTTTTTCATGTGTTCCTCGAGAAATTTCTTCCTTTGATTATCAAACCTTAAGTGTGCTCACACGCAAATGCAGATTTTTTGGCACTGGAATCGTTTTGAGGGTTTTTTTTTTTTTTTAACTCGATGATTTTATAATCTTTTTTACCAATTTTTTGTAATTGTATCTTTTGATCACTATCAAACAGTATGATTTTAAAGCACATTGATATTGTATTCGTAAAAAACTCACACATTTATATGATGTTATTGTTTGCTTGACTGAAACATATTGAGATAGTACAATGCACTAATGAATGCGTAAATTGTTACGGACAAAAGCAGAAAATCAGCGAGGATTCGGATGTCAGTGACAATTAAAAGAATGACACAACACAGAAATTTATGCTTGTACTTTGTTAATTTTTCAAACAATTTACATACCTCTTTTGCGCACCTGCATTTTACCAAAGATTTTATCTTATTTTACGATCGACTTTGTCACCACTTTAGACCATTTCCATAAATATGTTTGGTCTCCATGTGTTGGACCATTGATCTTGATGGTTAAGTTGAAGTGAAATATAAAACTTCTCAAGATAATCAAAGTACTGAAAGCCCAAAATAATAACTATTTTTAATATTGTAAAAATTTGCACTTAGATCTTTTTTTGTCCCAAGTTCCGATGATATATCTAAAAAAACTTAAGGTACTTCATAACGGATTTAGATAAAAATTAATCATAATTAACTTACAATGAATAAGTAATTGTTGAAATCGGCATTTTATTTATTTTCTTATTAACATTAGATTTTAAAACAAATTAAAACTTTAAGACTCTCAAAAAATTGTGTTTCTCACATTTTTTTGGTACATTCAGTCATATGTTTCATAAACCATCTGTAAATAAAGCTGCATCCACATTTTGGACAATCCTCAAAAATATGACGACTCTGCATGTGTCTGATTATATCACATCTCACTGTAGTGATAAAATCACACTCGTTGCATTTAAATTTGTCGTGATACTCAAAGTGCTGTGACTTTGTGTGAGTGTTTTTAACATGCGAATACGTATTAGAACATCTCTTCGATTCATAAGAGCAGAATACACATTTAAATATTTTCATACCATTATGAAAAGTTGACTTGACTGTTTTCGAATTTTTTCTTTTTGTTTTCTCAATCAGTGCCACTTTTTCCTTCTTCATCATTTTTTTATGGTTAATTAAACCGTTTTCCAATTTATAATAAGCTATGGGTTTCCTCTTTCGAAGAACATATTTACTGTGTTTCCTCGTGTTTGGAGTATCTAAGCCGATACTACCATATTCTTTGTCCATATCAAATAGATTATCATTTGTTTCAGCATCTACGGAAATTTAAAAGTATCAGTATTTTAGATGTTATAAATACGATGAATATGTACATAAAAACTTGTTTTAAAAGATTTACCAAGATCCGGTAGGGCTTCAAATTTCATCAAGTCATTGAGGTTCAAAGAGCTTCCTGAAATATTGTAAATTTTTTTTTTGCATAAAAATCATATATTTATTATTAAATCAAAGAGAATTTTGTGTATACAATTTAATTGCGAGTAATATTTACCAGGATGAGAATACCCTTTAATGTTAATTAGGTTATCAGAATTAATATGGATTTCTTCTTGAACGTATGTCTTGGCCGTACTCCGACATGAATCTTCTGAAACATAATTTTCTTGTGACACACATTGTTATTTATACGTATTTTTTGAAAATTTCTTATTTCCAATAAATTAAGTAATTTAAGTTAAAGCTTCGTGTTGAATAAACATTATATAAAAATTATAACTTTTGTTACTTTTTTAAACTTTTTATTGACCAGCAAATTTTTTAATACAAATAAATTAAACACGATTTTTTATTTTTTAGGTGTTTGGTTTTTTTATTTTAGGTCACGCTGTTTTTAGGTTTTTGAATTAGGTAGTTGATACATCACTTGCAAACAATTTTTGTTAACCTAGATTGATATTTAATTGAGACGTGCCTGAAACATTTTCGTGACTTAAGACATTCAAGTACTGTAATTTTCTGAAATTTACATTTTTTAAATAAAAGTAGTGACATAAATTTTAACAAAAGTTTTGGTAAAGCATTTTTTTTTCTTTTTCGGCCATAACAATAAATTAAAATAAATGTAATCGTAAAATGCAATGTTTACAAAAATTACTAGTTGTAACTCATGGTCTTTGNCGAGGGCCTGTTGCACGTTTCGCAGAGCAACACCTTCGACAGCCCGAAGGGCGACACCTTGTCGCACGTGCAACAGTAGATGACGAGGTAGGCGTCGTCCACGACCGACAAGTCCTTCGAGTCGTCGGTGCTGGTGCTGCTGGTGGTAGGGATGTTGTCCCCGATGGGTTATTACTAGTTGTAACTCATGGTCTTTGTGAATACATTATTTGCAAATTAAGATTAAATTTTTTTATTTTTGCTCAACAAAAAAATTAAATGTAAAAAAAGTACTAGCTTTCCAGGTTCTTCTTTTTTGTAAGTCATTTAACTTAGAATGTAATAATTATTTTCAAACATATTTTTGCATATACCCCATAAAAGCTTTTCACGATGAGAAAAATTCATTTATATAACTCGTTAAAACTTAGGTTAAACTTTTAATTTACCGCAAATCATAATATGATTCAATAATGATACCGAATGTAAGTTCCTTCCACACTTTGTACAATTCTCCATAATATGGTACCGTCGTATGTGTTGCGTTATAGAACCCCTATTTTCTGTGACAAAATTACAGTTGTCACAATGAAATTTGTCATGATATTCAAAATTCTGCGATAGCGTATGCAACGTTCGGGTATGTTTATAAACATTTCCGAAATTTGATTTTTTGAACGGACAAAGCGGGCACTTATACATTTTCTTACCATCCACAATTTCTGGATAAATTTTTCTTTTCGAACTTCGTTTTTTTACCCTGTGTTCAGCAAATTTTCTAATCGCCTCATTTTTATTTTCAACTTTAATTTTTTTATCACTGTTTCTTTTACTTTTATGTCTACGATACATTGCTGGTTTCCTATTTCGTAGTGAATACTTACCAGTGCTTTCTTCTTTCTTGAGTTTTTTCGTAGTACTTCCGTCTTGTTGGTCCATAATACTAGTTTTTGAAGTATTATGGATGACATCATACATATCTTCGAAATTACGAAAGTTCTGGTCGTTTTTAGGAGGTGAATTGAGATTGTTACTTAATATGATATCATCTGCTCCAGAGTTATAATTTTCATCATCACCATCTACGTAAACAATTAATTAGTCGTTTAAAATACAAAAAATCGACCCAACTTAAAACAAAATTATTTACCATGATAGGAAAAAACCTCAAATTCAGTTAAATTTTCAGGATTTACGTAGATCTCTTCTTTCACGTAGGACCTTGATGCACTGGGTGATGAATTTTCTGAAACATGATAATGTTTTTACATGAAAATAAAATATACCTGTACCAATATATTTTTATTTTTGAGTAGTCGTCATTGCAATGTATAGACAATACATAAAGTATTGGGAGACTTCATTTTTTTCACAAACATATAATAACGTGTTAGAATGTGTATCGATACTAAGAACATTACTTAATTCAAGTTTCCTTTGAACACTTACTTTGGCATAACATTTGTATCTTTTACAAATAATTTTAACGTTTAAATAATTAGCCGTAAACCAAACATACTAAGCCATTTATTAAGTTCAAGTTTACACAATATTAGGAATATAGTTAAAGTAATAAAAGACAATACTACAATATTATCTTGACATAATATTCTAATCAATGGCTCACTGGATTACAAAAAAATTTAGGAGTTAGAAAAATACCTAAATACGCCTGCTTTTAATTTTTTAATATTTTTAGAACCATATAAACATTACTCTGTAAAATGATTTTTGCAGTAACAAAGTATGAACAAGAAAACATACGTAAACATAGTATTATAAATTACAGAACGATTTGTTTTTACAGCTTTTATTTACATTTAATAATGAGATTAGAAATCTTTAACGCCTTACAAAGTAGATATATTTCATTAACACACCACGTTTAAGGACGAACACCACGACTAATCCTTGAAATCACGTGATAAAAACTCCCTCTGCTTAATGGCATATGTAATATTACATTTTTTTTTGTACGAACTACACATATATGAGATGCTAAATAAAAAAAACTCTCACTCAGTACTGTGTCTAATTTTGAAAACATTTTATTCTAATTTTTCAATTTAGAGGTTAGAATTTTTTTCATTGCACTTACAATATTAATATTGTCGTGTAGTTTTAGTTTTTGCTTTCGTAAGGTATACTTATTCCAATTTTTTTTGCATTTTTTTTTTCTTTTGAGTGTTTGAGATACCTTGATCTTCTTCCTTAACAACGTTAGTTTCTAAAGCAACACTAGGAAATTTACTTGATATCAAAACAGGTTTTGAAAAATTATCATTGATCATTTTATCAGATGTATTTGAAAGCTTTGGATTTGATTTTTTTTCCATATTATCTACTTGAAAATCGTTTTTATCCTGATTATCCGCCTCTTGTGTTTGGTCAGAATCTGCAAACAATAAAGTACCTTGATTAATACAAATTAAAAAATTAAAACTGTCCATATTAATGGATCTTTACCAGAATCAGACGAAACTCGTAAAGTATCTAATTCTTTAGAGCTAATTTTAACGATAATAATATTTCCTTTTTATTATTATTTTTATCGTTTTTATTGTAATTAGTTTAAAAAGTAGTAAAAAAAAAAAAAAAA